ACTTTCGTGATTGGTGTCGTCTCAATGGTTTACGAGCTAACATTAATATGTGTAACTCGATTTCGTTTTTTCGCATAAAGTCTCTTTACATAATTAATTATTGGTCCGGTGATCGTTTTTTATAGACGTACTTCTAGACCAAATATAACATGTATGCCAGATTTTTCAGAGGAACATACACAGGGTTATAAGTAAGTTTGGTATAAAAATCGAATTATTTTTGTTGATTTTACCCATCTTGGTGATACGGATAAAATAAAAAAGTTAAAACAAATCAAAAAAAAAAAAATCAAAATAAACATTAAATTTAATATTATTTTTAGTCAGCTGAGGAAAATTCGACAAGACGAAGCTTTGCTGCTCAAGGGTATTTATTATCACAAATAATAATTATTAAAACAAAAAATAATATTGATTTATGATTAGGATTTTTTAAACATAAAGAAAACGCTTTATTTTTCTATTATCAAATGACAATAAAACTATCTAAATTATTTTCAAAAATCACATTCTTATTATAAAATAAAAACATGTATGTTTTACGATCCTATATTTATTTCTATATAAGTATAGAAAAAACTCGACCGTTTGATTTAAACATTAATAAAATTATAATTAATACGTAACTGTTTTCATAGAAATTTTTTTTTGTTGGATTTTTGAAGTTTTGAGAACTAATGCAAGATACATGGATACGTGCATCTAACTTGGTCCCAAAAAGTTTTAAATGCTCTCATAGTGCACCGAACAGAAAGCCCGCGTATAGGGTATGTCATAAGCATTCGTGTGCAATATGTTTAGTTTTGAACTTAAGACTAATAAGGCTACTTCTGCCGCATTATTATTATATTAAAATATGGGTATTTTATTATTTATTAGGCACGTCTTATTTTACTGACTATACAATTTGTTCGTGAATGTGTGTACCTTAAAATACCCTTTTACATAACCTATACGTATTGCATGATAAATTTGAAATTGTTATTTTAGATTCCAAGCGTAGAGATTGAGTTATTGGTTTTACTAAGATGTTTATATTTTTCTTATTTCTTTCTTTCTTCTGATCTGTGGACACGTTTTTCCTAGTAAACTTGTTCCGATATTTACATATAGCACCTTTTATGAAAACTCATGTTTTTTAAATTTTACTGTAAATAGATTATTTTTTGATTTTTGACGCCATTTTGTAAATAAAAGCACATAAGTGAGAAAGAACGTAAGAAAACGTACAATTTCATTATTTTATAAAAACACGGACGTTTTCTACCAGAAAAATCGATTTAATCGAAAAATCATAGAAGACCTTTTTTTATTGAATATCTGATTTACTTTCTTATGGTTTCATTGCTAAAACTTTTGAGCCTTTTTGAGCTTTTAAGGAATTTTGATTTTCGGGAGTTTTTTGCTGTAATTTGATTATTAATACAAGTAGAGACTAGAAACTTGGTAATACTACTTATATTAGATTTACTTAGACGTGATAAAATTTCCAAAATCATCGGACGACTTGTTTTTTTTTTTAATAAATTTGATTTTTTGAAATCAAATTGAAGGAAAATCGCAAAAAAAAATTACGGCACATTAAATTATGTAATACCAAACTGCGCTCGGATTCGTCTATCTTCAACCAATGGGTTATCGTTGCTTACAGATAAATGAAATAATCGTATGTGTTTTATCTTTCCAACTTATCACCTACAAAAGTGGCAACTTCCATCCCCAGTATCAGCTCTATTTTTAAATATTTTATAGGTGTAAGCAGCAGTGGTCAAATGATTTTGTTATAGATGTTGGATGAGTCTTATTTTTAAAACTTTTGTTTAACAATATTATTATTATTTATATAATTTTTTTCATAGATGATATGAAACTAATATACACTATTATAATTTTTAAGAAGAAATGGTTCATGGGGTGATCAAATGCCTCCCCTCCCCAAATCTGCATTTTCTTAACGCACCAAACATAACGATTTAGTTTACACTTTACACGTGTTTATTATATTTATGTTTTTTATATTTTATTAGTGTATAAAATAAAACTGTTACCACAATTTGAGTTCAGAAAAACCAAAACTATATTATACTGTACAAATTAGATTAGAAATAAACATAAACATAATATCATCATTATCACGGTACAGTGTATAGCTGAATACCTGCATTTTTAAAATGTTACCTATCAAAATAACTGAGATAGATAAATTAAACAAATTTTGTTTTCTGTATAGCATCGGGCACAAGCATATATTTTAATAAAAATATTTTAAAAACCTAACTTTTTTAATATATTTTCTAAAATATAAGATACTCTATTATATACGTAGTATATTCAAAGGTATCGAGCTAGGAGCGCGTTGCTGTCCGAATCGCTTTAGAAAGCGCATTAATCATAACCGGGTTACCGCGCATTAACTGGAAGGAGTCTAAAACGTAAAGTTATATTCAAAATCATGCTGAAAAATGTGATAAAAAAGATAGTTGGATAGTGTGAATTATGACCGAGTATAGCTGTGGCTAAAGCGAGAAAGGAGTTTAATGTTGCTGAAAATAGGTTAATACTATCATGAAAAGGAGTTTAGTTTCCTGGGCAGAAGTTGTAAAATGAATTTTCGAAAAACGAAGGACGAATAATATTATGCTATCGACGACGACCTCATTTTTAAACGAAAAAAAAGGTTGATATAAAATCATTACAGAATTCGGGTTGTTATTATATATTATATAAAATATCACATGGTCGGTAACTATTAAATTAATACATATTTTATACTTGAAAGTACTGTGTTAATAAATTATTATTAAGTGTTCTCCGTAAAACCAAACAAAATTTTAAAAAAGAAAAAAAAAACAAGCAGCAAAGCTCCGATGAATTTCCCACTAACTATTTTAGAGCATATAACTTTGCCAAACAATAAATAACTAAATACTACAGTAAAATAATATACTAAATTAAGTGTACTAGAAGTATTTATTAAGTATACTGTTTCCAAAAATAAAAATAAAAAAGGAATTTGATCATAAAAATATTAGGGTTGGGATTTAAAAATTGAAACTCCAAAAAGTAACGTCTTTATAAGTACTACGCTTGTATCGACGAACAATTGAAGAGGCGACTACAGAGACGTACAAAGCTCGCAAAATACATTTGTTCCTCAAAATCGTGGTTAAATTTAGATTCAATCCAATTTTTGTACTTTCAACTCGCCAATAAAACAGTTCTAATTTGTGAGGTAATTTAGCCAAATGAAGCCGCTAGAAATGCTCAGAAGTACCAGAGAAGGGTAATTGTATAGAAATATATAAAATTAATTTATTACAAATCTACCAGGGTCGCCAGGAATAATAATATTTTTAATTTTTAGTATACAGTGTACAATCTGTACTATTATAACATTTTTAAGTTTTTTTTTTTTTTTATAAAATATAGGTATTACATTTTAAAACTTACCTGTATTTAATTTTTAATTATAATACATTGTGGTTTTTTTTTTTTTTTTTGTAAACATATTTTATACGTTTATTTATACCGTCGGACCTATTGTATTTTAACAATTTTTACTTGTGTACCTCTTTTTCCCCCTTTTTCAGTCTTCTTAATTTAACGCACACAATAATTTAATATTAAAGTTTACTCCGGTGCCACTATACGCAAACCCTGCGAACAGCTGGTATATAACTATATAATAATAAAATATCAGCTTTACCTAAGTATAGGTAGTACACGGACTGGGTAGTGTAATATACATTTTATACATTAATAAGTTTGTTCTTATAATTTAATTAATTTTACAGCGATATTTTGTCACAAGGAAAACGGCTGACAATAATAACAATAATAATAAAAATAACAATCAAGGGTTTTCGGGACTTGCGTAACATTTGCTTATTTTTCCGGTTTGACATAATCTTGCAGAACGCTATGAAAAATATGATAGGTATGACATTTTTTTAAAACTGATGGTATTTTTCTAGAGAATCTTTTCTCTCGTAAAGTACTTTTTAATACCTAGTTTTGCATATTTTGCAGTAACATACTTCAAATCTTTTTTTTAAATTTTAGATTCGGTGTGGAGTAAGAGATTTATTGGTTTCACTATGATACTATGATGCATATACGTGTGTTTTTTTTTTTTCTAAACTACTTTTGAAACCGAAAACTTGCTCCAATCGAAAAATGACAAGAGGCCTGTTTCGCTGCAATTTGGATGTAGTTAGTACAGTAATGAGGCCATTATTTAAATTTCTAAATTTTTTTTTATTGGAATTCAGTTAATAATAATTTTAGAGATTTGAAATATTTTAAATTGTTGTGCTATTTATAGACATTTTATATTTCCGAGTTTTTTTTACCGTTTTTAATGTTAAATTTTGATGAACGATGCGATTATTCCACGGGTGTTATGAAATCTGGAGGTTGTTGATTCGATAGTTGTTTTTTTTTTTTTTTTAAGGTTTAGGGTTTTGATCGAAGACTTGTGGTTTTTATCGCCGCCAATATTTTTGCCGTCAAAGGTCGCCTTGGCGCCACGGCCGTCTGCGAAAGGATATTATTATTAATAATTTACTAGGGATCGAACGATATATGATAGAGAGAAGAGATTTCATGTATATGTATATATACATATATTTATATATATATATATATATATATATATAGGGTGGACGACCGCGTGTAGACCGGACAGGTAATATGTTCCGGTCGATTTTGGTCATAACTCTTGAACGGTTACAGTTCGGCCCTACGACTACTCACCCGGCTACCCTCTCCCACTTTCCCTCTCATCCTAAACTGTTGCTAAATGTGTGGGTATCATATATGCAGTTTGACGTATTTGGGAAAAAGATAAAGCGAAGAAATTTCGGGCTATATATACGAAGACAAGGGTTCAAAAATATAGAACGTAAATCAAAACCACGAGGAAAATATTATTACATATTATTATTTTCTTCGCTCTCTAGTGTATTCACCGCCGCCATCGCCACTGGGAGACCGAGGAGGTGTTCGGTTTTAGAATTCCTACGCTTTACCGTTCACAATTATACCGGGCAAAGCGTTTGAATTGTAAAACTGAACCCTCTGGCATCACGGACATCGTGAACACCGTCATAATGTACCTGTTGTCAAATTCATAGCTTCAAAAAAAAAAAAAAAAAAAAATTGTTTTGTAGTTTATTCATATCAATAGAATTGTTATAATCGCAATGTCAGTACAAGAGGATCAATTTTTAATTTTTTAGTTTTGGTGTCTTTTTTTTTCTTATTTTTCTTTCTTTAATAACATATTTTATGTTAATATAAAATTGTTAATTATTTATAAAAATTACTGTACTGAAACAAACCGATAGATATAGCAGGTAAAAATAAATCCGTAAAACGAAATTCGACGTTTTTGTACTAAAATAAATATGAATATTTCTCGGAAAACGGGGAATGAATGTCATTGATATTATATATAGCTACACGTACGGGATACTTCTTTTTCTACTAACTTCTTGCACTAAAACATTTTAAAAAACATTAATGAATCACTTACTGTTGATAATTGCGGTAATATGTTTGGTACGGTTGAAAAATGTAACTATTTACAATTGTGTTGTGTACACGCATACATACAGCCCTCTTGTACTGACAATTGATATTTTCAATATTAATAAGCTTTATATCGTATTTTGATTTTATAATTTTGTATAATTGTTAGACACAGACTTCTATGTCTTATCTCATCTGTTCTTATTGGCTCCATGGTCCCTCGATGTCCCTAGGTTCCCGTGTCTCTAACTAGAGAAATCATATTCATTCCCCTTTCGTCCTGCACGTATATAATCATCCTCTTCAAGGTATGCTCCGTTCGTGAACAACCTATAGATTGTTAATCTACTTGGATAACATTTTTATTATATACTAACCTAGAGTTTAAGACCGCATTATTAGATGATGTTTGTTTGTAAACTCTTTAAATTTGTTCCGGTTAATTTGTAAATAAACTAGTTTTAAGTCTGTATTGTCCATGATATAGTCTTATATAGTTACATCGTATTTTTTTAAATTTTATTTTTACAATTTGTCGTTTTGGCGTTAATAAACAATAATAATAATTGTAAACTATTTTAATTTATGTATAGATATATATATATATATATGTGTGTATACAAAGTGTTTCACCATAGTCAACGGTCATTTTCTAGAGCTGTTAATATTAAGTATTTTAAAATTTTTTTTTTTTTTAATTGGTGTTTATTCGAGGGAGACATCGATTTTGAAAAAAAATTAAATTTTTATTTTCATCCTTTAAATACAAAAAAATAAAAATAATAACAATCGCAATTGCCGCACGGTAATTCCTTACCGCAACAATAGTTTATTGAATATTAATTATTTTTACACTTTTTACTATAAATTAAAACGGCTATTCCTCAGATACTATTCATCGGATATGAATGTGTAACACATTACAATTTTCATAATAATATCTATTATAAAATGTTGATAATTGAATAAATAAAAAGTCTTTTTTATCGATGCCCCCCTCAAAGAAACACTGATTAAAATATTTCACAGGAAATATTTAATATTAACAGTTCTAGAAAAATCCATCGAACACGGTAGGACACTCTGCATATACATTATACGTCGTTATAATTAAACGAAAAATTAAACGCTGCGTTTTCGTATAAAATTATACAAGCGAAAATAATATTTGTATAGTCTTAGACTCTTAAGATAAGTAGTTGGATACTTACCTACCTACTTTATTTAATAAACAACGTTTAACGATCTTTATTACAGTGAATTGCACGAAAAAAAAAAAAAGTACCTATCTTAATGAATTGTAAGAATCATTGATTATAATATTAAACTCGCAAGTGTTAAGTATAAATTTGTAGTTTTACCGGTTAAATATAACAAACGATAATGGGCATAATTCGCGTATAATAAATAAAATAAACACATTTCCAAATGCATCGGTAAACCCTTACTGTTCGGTACAATTGTACCGAGTTATTCGACATTTGGGTAAAAAAAAAAAAAAATCAACCCGAACCGCGGTCTAGCACATATTTTGTGTATTAACGTTATTTAAAAATCACAGAAATGTATTCGGTAACGAACGCCGTCGGGATCGTCGATGCCGGTGACGGTAACGTTGAATAAATAAATCGTTTTCTCGTGCATTAAGGCGCACGGTCGTGCAAAATGTCCAAAGAAAACCGAAGAGACAGTTCGGAACGTTCCCCCCCTTCCCCCGTACAACAGTGACGGGGTAGCGTATAATATGTTATAACGAATATTGATCAAAGCCACGCACATATATTTATGTATATTATTATATTATTACATTAGAACGGTTCACGGAAACAACGATGACGGTAACAATATTATTCTAATAGAGAAAGCACGAGGCGTACCCACTGTATCGTATATTATACGATGATAATGTGTGTATAAAAAAAAAAAAAAAAAAAAAACCAGGGGGGGGGGGGGGGGGAGGGGAAAAAAAAATGTTCGTAGTTAAATGACATTTGCGAGTCAATGTCGTAACGAGATCGGGCGAAAGCCATTTGAATAAGCAATGACGAATTCCACGTGAATATATACGTATACCATTACGTGTGCGTAGGTACGTACAGGTTGCGGCGCACTGCCGACAGCGGCGCGGGCGGAGAAACGCGCGGGGAACGGGCCGACGGGCGCTGCACGGTCGGGGGAAAAGGGTAACGCCGTGCGTATATAAACGTATTTTCTAACCTATTTCCCGTATACTTATATGTATATTATTATATATATATATATATAAGCGAACGAATACTGTATACTCGGTTAAGCTCGTCTAGAAGCTTTTAGGGGTAAAAACGTCCAGACCGAAAAGCGACCCGTGCCGCGGCGGCAACAGCATCAGCAGCCGGCAACCGGCATCCGGAGGGCAGGGGAGGGTTGCGTGTGTTCGCGCGCGCGCGCGCGCGCGTGTGTGTTTGTGTGTGTGTGTGTGTGTGCGTGTGCGTGTGCGTGTAGTGGGTAGCGGTGGGAGGGGGAGGGCGGCCGCGGGGGTTATGGCCTTTTTGGTCTTACGCGCGCGTTTCCGCCTTAGTGTACTTCCACTCGCCGCGCGGCCCCCGCGCTATCCGACGGCTGCAGTAATGGAATCTGCGAATCGTTTCGGCGCGCACCTACAATAATAATACACGTTTGCGACGAGCGTCTCCGTCTCCGCGGACGAAACGGCTCTGCGGGAGGTGTTCGCGCCGGCCGCATAACCCGGCGAACGAGAACGCGATTTGTCTCGGCCGCCGCGCGACGGCGCGGTCTTTCCGGCAAAACCAATTTAGAACTGTCTATCCGCCGCCGCCGCCGCCGCGCACTTAACCCGTATAACAATACTCGATTACTTACGTTTTATATTATGTTACCGCGTTATTGATGGGCTGCCGCATTATAATGCGCGCGAGCCGGTTCAAAAGTCACGGATTAACAACGCGTTACGCGATCCGCGTTGCGGCCCCGCGGAAGATTCCCCTCCCCCCTCGTCCCCCTGCCCTTCTCCTCAAAACAAGAGCCGCCCGATTCGCGTTAATGTGACTTCGGAGCGAACGGTTAAAAAAAAAAAAACAAAAAAAAAAAACGCCTCTATCCGAAATGACTATACCTCGGTTCCCCTGCCTTTTCACATATATCTAGGCTAAGCAACCGCTTTGTTAGGAAAACGTCATTAAGACAGCACGTCCGTACCCGCACGTGCTGTCTCGGTCCGACTTACGGGGGATTGGCGAGTTGAGAGGGGGGGGGGGGGTTAAAGCGAAATCTGCCTTACGCAGACTGCGTAGGATTAGTTTCGTTTTGGTTCCGGAGTAAAAGTACCTGTTATACAATTAAAAGAAGACGATAATCCGGAGGGCACGACAATGCGTTTATTTCGTTTTAAATTCATTCTTCGACATCGTGTAGTCATTTAAAAGGGATGTATTGAACGTTACATTCGGAATAGGAATTGCAATAACAAGGAAAACGCATCGTCTTGCCCTCCGGAACATTGTCCTCTTTTAATTATTAATATGCGATTTTACTCTAAATACGAAACTAAGCGAGTTCTACGCAGTTCGCGTAAGATAGATTTTTCTATATTGCCCGTCAGTGTTGGACTGAGACAGCGCATCCGTATATCCGTATATAATAAAAAAAAATCTTAGTTCATAGATAACCTCATTCATCGCGATTTGATATTTCGACGTCACGACATTACAGGAAAAATAATAAAAGAGCTGCGAATATTAATTAGCGAAACTATGACCGACCCCACTGTCAAATAGACACCATTACGGCCTATTTGATAATGTGATACATAATTGTTTCATTCGCAACTCTTTAACCGTTAGAATTATATTATTTGTTAACCACGGCCCGTAGAAAGGAATTTATCGCCTTCGTCCTTCCCTCGTCAATACGCAACTGACAGTTACCGTTAATCGCATAGGTACAAAACATCATCACGAGAGAGACAGTCATTCGGTATTTATTTTCGTCTCAAATAAACGTGACGTCTCGTGCGGAACGTCTGTAAAAGCCCGAATATTAGAAATCTGAACGAATAAACTGTTTTGAAACACTCCGTACACGTGCGCGATCGAGGAGCTCACCTCCCTTCCCCTGAAATGACCCGACCCCGTGCACAGTCCCCGGGGACTAAATCTTTGACTAAGCCTCGGCCGCGTCTTCCGGGAAACACGGTTTTGTATAATAATAAAAGCCTATTTTTTGCGGGTCTTGCTAAAATCCAATAAAGGCGCAACAAATGGACGGCGAGATAACAGATTGTCTCGATATATATGTTACGTGCGCAGTCTCTTCTTCTATGCTCCAAGTTTATATAACTTTTACTTATTTTTATTTATTTATTATTTTTTTTTTTTTTCATTCAAACGTCAACATTAAACCCACACTGTATTTATATAAATAATTGGATTTTTTTTCTGCTACACTTTAATTTAAATTAAACGTTATAAGTATAAGCAAACCTGAAAGTTAATTTTGTATAATTGTGATTTTTAAAAAGTCGAAAGTAATTCGAGCCAGAAGTTTGAAC